GTGCTGCAGCAGCACCGGCGTGCGGGTCATGGGCGAGAAGCCGATGGCCGGGTGTCCCACCTGGGGTGCACGACGGAGTGGGATGAGGCAGGGGGCGGCGCTGCCCTCACCATGGGCAAACGGAGGCGTGGGGCAAGGAGAGGGGAGCAGGGAGGGAAGCACTCACCGCACGGATGTAGCGGCTGGCAGGGGGCGCGGGGGAGAACTCCCGCTTGAGGTTCCTGCCGGGGGAGATGCCGCGTGGGTGCCCCAAGGCTGGCAGGGACCCTTGGGGACACCCCGTCCCTCCCTTTGCTACTCACATGTCCCTGCAGACACCGCTGAAGGCTTTCCACCACGGGTCTGATTCCTCCGTGGACGTGATGTTCTGGTCCATGCACTTCTACAAAGGGACACAGGGAGGTGCCGGGGAGGGGGCACCCAGAAGGGGACACTGCAGGCAGAGTGCGGGTCCCCGCCAGCCCTCACCTGTATAAACTCGTAGGTGACGCCGTCCCCAGCAGCATGACACCACGCTGCCACCTGCTCCTCAAACGCCTGTGGAAGGATCGCAGGAGAGGGGTGAGCGGGACAGCCCGGAGCCTGCTCTCTGGCCGGGCCGGGGGGCATCGCACCCACCTTCAGGTCCACGGTGGGGGGGATGCGGACATCGAAGCCGACTGTCATCTCCGAGGGCACCACGTTGAAGGAGACACCCCCCTCCAGCATGGTGAGGTTGAGCGAGGTGACGTCCCCCAAGGTCAGGCCTGTGTCAGATTTCAGCCTGGGGGGACACAGGGGAAAATCACCCTCTGCCACCGCAGGAGTGGGCAGGGGGCTCCCCAAAAACACACGCGGGAGCCCAAGGAGCCCAAACCAAAGAAGAACCGGTGCCCGTTTCCTACCTCTGCTTCTCACTCTCCCGGAATGCCAGGAAGGAGGTGATCACCTTGTGCTGGGGACACAAAAGTGCAGGGTGAGGTCCCAGGCCTCCTGCCCCACAGCTGTGCTAGGAAAGCCCTGGAGCAACGGGGAGCCCACATAGTCCCAGCGTGGGACCTACCCCAGCCCTCACGCTTCCCCCGGACTGGCACCCGGGACACCCATCACTTACCATCTTCTCAGCCGCCGTGTTGCTGATGAAGCGGGAGCCGTGGCCGGGGCTGCCCAAGCACTTCACTTTAATCCCTGCGGCACCGGGAGCGGAGGCTTGGAGCACCCAGCACCCCACGCACCCGGCACCCCGACGCTGCGGTGCCCACGCGTGTACTCACACCAGGGGCTCTTCTCGCCATAGAAGACGCTGAAGGTGTCGGAGGCACTGGCCAGGCCTGTGGCGGGCATGGAAGGGACGTAAGTGGGGCACACAGGTACAGAATATGTCCTCTTGCCCCCAGGCTCTCCGCACTGCCGCCCCCTGCCCTGGCACCAGAGATGGAGCAGTCAGGAGGTGGCATTTTCCTCCAGGCTGGTGCCAGCAGGGAAGGTGCCAGGCCAGAGGTGGGAAGTGTTGGGGAGTCCCGAAGGGACCCCAGGAGCTGTGCCAGGCGCTCCAGGGGCGATGCAGAGATGCAGAAGGCTGCACACCATGAAGAGGCAGGTCGCAGAGCCCCGGCTGTGTCCTCGTGCCCCGGCAGCCCTGCCAGCCCTCACCTTCGTCCAGGGCGAAGCCCACGTTGAGTGCCTTGAACTCCGGGCGCTGCACAAACATCTCCATGCCCTTGTGGCCACCCACCTCCTCATCTGCAGAGAGAAGCCCACCGTGGCTGAAGGACCCAGCGCGTCCCCTCCTGCCAGCACGACCCCAGCCTCCTTCATGAGGTGAGCTGGGAAGCTGGGCAGGCTGGCAAGGGGCCCTCGGGAGCCAAGGGAGCTTCTTGGGTGCCCAGACGCCACGGTGAGGGGTGCACAGACAATGTCACCCAGCTGCCCACCCCCTCTCTGTCCCTCTGAGCGGGGACTCACCGGGCACGAAGGTCAGGTGAATGGTGCGGGCAAAACTCTTCCCCTCCGCCTTCAGCCTCCGGATGGCCTCGAGGTACCTGCAGGGCAGAGTGTCCCTGGGGTGCCCGGGCATGGCATGCTCAGAGCCGCCCCACACCGGGCTGGCAGGTGGCAGGAACCCCCTTTCCCCTGCTGTGCACCGCTGGCACAGAGCCCTTCACTCACTGTATGGAGACGCACTTCATGTCCTGGGCACCCCGGGCATAGATGTTGCCTTGAGAGTCCTTAATGGCTTCAAAGGGCGGGTAGGTCCAGTGCTCCTGTGGGGACAAGGAGCACCAGCTGTGATGGGCACCATGGGCACCGCGAGGGCTTTCCCTCGACGTGGCCCAGCCCCGCTGCTGCAGGCGAGCGAGGAGAGACGGCACCAGCCAGCAAAGCCCCCTTCAGCCAGGACCCCCGCCCGACCCGTCCCCACCACCCTCAGCCCGTCCCCGGCACCTCGAAGACCGGCACGACGTCCGTGTGGGAGTTGAGCAGGATGGAGCGCAGGCGGGGGTTGGTGCCCGGCCAGGTGAGGACCAGCACCACGCGGCCCGGGCACACCTAGGGGGCAAAGGCAGGTGTCACCTGGGTCACCTCTGGGACCATGAGCCTGGACATGGCCACCAGCAGCCAAGAGCTCCCGGATGGGCTTCAGACGGAGCCATGGCTAAGGAGGGGGACAAATCCATGTTTTCTGTTCCTGGCCCCTGGTGCCAGGCAGAGCCGTGCCCTGCCAGGAAGGAGGGACACCTCCAGGCAGCGTGATCCTGCCTGCTCCCTCATTAATCATAGCACAGGGAGCCATAAAGGTCAGGGGGACCAGCCCAAAAATAGAGCACACAGGGAGCTTAAGGGAGCGCTCGGGTCAGTGCTGGATTACAGGGAGCGGGATCCCTTGGCCTCACTCCCAGAAGGTGCTTGGGGACGGTCACGCTCACACAGGGCTTTCTGATCCAGGGGCTGGCCAAGCCACCATCTCCTCCAGGACAACGGCGCTAGCCAAGAGGGGGATGCTCAAGGCAGGGGGACACATTCCTGTCTTTGCTGAACTCCGTGAGGAAGACGTCGCGTGCCAATGTGTCCGGCAGACACTGGTCTCCCAGGCAGAGCCTTTCCTGGAGCAAGCAGGGATGGACTGTCCCTCTCTTACCTCCACTTTCTGGCTGGCCAAGCCCAGATCGGTGCCAACGCGCTCCAAGAAACGCACGGCTGCATCTGGGGAGGACCAGAGACATCGAGGGTTAGGTGGGATCTGCCTCCCCTCCCACTGCACTTGCACAGCCCCAGGGAACCCCTGCGCACTCCTAGGCCAAGGAAAGAGCCATCCAGAGAGGGCAGATGACCAAGATGCTGACCCAAATAAATGGCGCTTCAGGGAGAAGATGGAAATTGGAATGGGAGAGAAACCTATGGAGGGTCATTGTGTAGGACAACAAGCATCTTCCCAGAGCAGGGCAGTGCAGAAAGGGGCGGCAGGCGGGAACCACGAGCACATCTGGGTTTGCCGGAGACACCCTGGCAGCGGCCCCCACCAAAGGCACCGGCGGCAAGATAAGGCGCGCAGGTGCTCCCCGGCGCTGATTAACACCGGGATCAAGGGCGCTCCGCTATGGAGGGTCATTGTGTAGGACAACAAGCATCTTCCCAGAGCAGGGCAGTGCAGAAAGGGGCGGCAGGCGGGAACCACGAGCACATCTGGGTTTGCCGGAGACACCCTGGCAGCGGCCCCCACCAAAGGCACCGGCGGCAAGATAAGGCGCGCAGGTGCTCCCCGGCGCTGATTAACACCGGGATCAAGGGCGCTCCGGCCCCAGTCCTTGGGCCCCCGGGTCCAAAGGCCGGAGCCGCAAGGCGGAGGGGACGGCCCGGGGTTGCTCCCCACCTCGGTCCTCCCCATCTCTTTGCCGCCAGGGCCCGGCAGCGCCGGAGCGCCCGGGGGCACAGCGCCCGCGGCAGCGCGTGCTCACCGTAGTCAGGCTCAGGGTGCACGGTGTTGATTCGCAGGGCCTCCCGG